AACATTTTTACCACCTCAAAAAGAAACTCTGTACCCTTTAGCTATCACCCTCCGAATCTCCCCTTTCCCTCAGCCCCCTACAAGTCTACTTTCTGTCTCTGTATTTTCCCAGTCTAGACATTTTTATTATTTTTTTAAATTTAAATTTTTATTGAGTCCATAATAGCTTACAACATTGTGAAATTTCAGTTGTACAGTATTTCTTGTCCGTCACCATATGAGTGCTCCCCTTCACCCCCTGTGCCCACTTCCCAGCCTCCTTCTCTTGGTAACCACTGAACTATTCTCTTTGTCCATAGGTTTGTTTATCTTCCACATGTGAGTGAAACCATTTGCTGTTTGTCTTTCTCCATCTGGCTTATTTCACTTAACATAATACCCTCCAGGTCCATCCATGTTGTTGCGAATAGGATGATTTTGTCTTTTTTTATGGCTGAGTAGTATTCCATTGTATGTATATACCACATCTTCTTTATCCAATCATCGGTCGATGGGCACTTGGGTTACTTCCATGTCTTGGCTATTGTGAATAATGCTGCAATGAACATAGGGGTGCTCTAGACGTTTTATATAACTGGAATCATAAAATATATGGCCTTTTGTGTCTGGCTTCTTTCACTTAGCATGTTTTCAAGGTTTATCCACGTTGTAGCATGGATCAGTACTTCATTCTTTTGTATTGCCAAATACTATTCCTTTGCATGGATATGCCATAATTTGTTTATCTGTTCATCAGTTGATGGATATTTGGGTTGTTTACAATTTTTGGATATTATGAATATTGCTGGTATGAATATTGATGTACCAGTTTTTGTGTGGACATATGTTTTCCTTTCTCTTGGGGTATACACCTAGGAGTGGAATTGCTGGGTCAAATAGTAACTCTATGTTTAACTTTCTGAGGAAGGCCAAACTGTTTCCACAGTGGCTGCACCATTTTACATTCCCACCAGCAGTGTCTGAGGGATCCAATTTCTCCATATCCTTGCCAACACTTGTTATTATTTGTCTTTTTATTGGTGTGAAGTGCTCTTTCATTGTGATTTTGATTTACATTTCTCAATGATTAATGATGTTGAGCATCTTTCCATGTGCTTATTGTCTAATAGTATATCATCTTTGAATAGAAATATCTATTCAAATCCTTTTTAAATTGAGTTATTTATCTTTTTATTATTGAGTTGTAAAAGTTCTTTATTCTAGATGCAAGTTTCTTATTAGATATATGATTTGCAGATATTTTCTCCCATTCTGTGAGTTGTCTTTTTACTTTCTTTCTTTCTTTTTAAAGATTGGCACCTGAGCTAACAACTGTTGCCAATATTCTTTTTTTTTTCCCTGCTTTTTCTCCTCAAATCCTCCCAGTACATAGTTGTATATTTTAGTTATGGGTCCTTCTAGTTGTGGAATGTGGGACGCTGCCTCAGCGTGGCCTGATGAGCAGTGCCATGTCCGCACCCAGGATCCTAACTCGTGAAACCCTGGGCCACCTAAGTGGAGCACATGAACTTAACCACTTGGCCACGGGGCTGGCCCCTCACTTTCTTGATAGTATCCATTGAAGCACAAAAGTTTTAAATTTTGGTGAAGTCCAATTTATTAATTTTTTTACTTTTCTTGCTTGTGCTTTTGGTGCCATATCTAAGAATCCATTGCCAAAACCAAGGTCACAAAGATTTACTCCTATGTTTTCTTCTAAGGGTTTTATAGTTTTAGGTCTTACATTTAGGTTGTTGATCCATTTTCAGTTAATTTTTGTGTGTGGTGTGAGATAAGAGTCCAACCTCATTTTTTTACATGCAGCTATCTGGTTTTCCCAGCACAATTTATTGAAAAGACCCCAATGAGTAGTCTTGGCATCCTTGTTGAAAGTCAATTATCATAGATCTTTGGATTTATACCTGGACTCTAATGTCTATTCCATTGATCTACATGTCTCTCCTTGTGTCAGTACCACATTATCTTGATTACTTTTGCTTTGTAGTAAGTTTTGAAATGGGGAATTGTGACCCAACTTTGTTCTTCTTTGTCAAGAATGTTTTAGCTATTCTGGGCCCCTGAGTTTCCGTATCAATTTTAGGATCAACTTTTGAATTTCTACAAAGAATTCAGCTTGGATTTTGATAGGGATTGCATTGAATTTGTAGAACAGTTTGGAGAATATTGCAGTCTTAATCATATTGACTCTTCCAGGTGTGATCATGGGATTTATTTCCATTTATTTAGAACTTTAAAAATTTCTTTCATAAATGTTTTGTGCTTTTCAGAGTATGAGTTTTGCACTTCTTTTGTTAGATTTGTGCCTAAGTATTTTATTCTTTTTGGTGTTGTTGTAATTGGAATTGTTTTCTTAATTTTATTTTTGGATTGCTCATTGATAGTGTATAGGAATACAATTGATTTCTGTATATTGATCTTGTATCATGCAACCCTGCTGAACTCATTTATTATGTTAGTTCTAATAGTTTTTTAGTGAATTCCCTAGCATTTTCTATATATAAGATCATGTTTTCTGTGAATAGAGATAGTTTCACTTCTTCCTTTCCAATTTGAATGCCATTTATGTAGTTTTCTTGCCTAATTGCTCTGGCTAGAACTTCCAGGACAATGTTAAATAGAAGTGGTGAGAGAGGATAGCCTTATCTTCTTCCTTATCTTATGGGCAAAGTATCCATTCTTTCATTATTAAATGTGATATTAGCTGTGGGTATTTTGTAGATGCCCCTTGTCGTGTTGAGGAACTTCCCTTCTATTCCTAGTTTGTTGAATTTTTTTTTTTTTTAGTGAAAAAAGAGTGTTGGCTTTTTTCAATGCTTTTTCTATGTCTATTGAGATGATAATGTTTTTGGTTTTTATTCTATTCATGTGGTGTTTTACATTCATTGATTTTTGGATATTAAACCAACCTTGCATTCTTGGGGTAAATCCCACCTGGTCTTGATGTATAATTCTTTTTATATATTGCTGGATTCAGTTTGCTAGTATTTCATTGAGAATTTTTGCATCTATATTCATAAGCTATACTGGTGTGTAGTTTTCTTTTCTTGTGATGTCTTTGGTTTTGGTATCAGGGAAATACTAGTCTCATACAATAAGTTGGGAAGTGTTCCCTCTGCTATTTTTGGAAGAGTTTGTGAGGAATGAGTATTAGTTCTTTAAATGTTTGGTAGCATTCACAAATGAAGCTGTCTGGGCCTGGGCTTTTCTTTGTGGGTAGTTTTTGATTACTAATTCAATCTCTATTTGGCATAGGTCTTTTTAGGTTTTCAACTTCTTCCTCAGTCAGTTTTGATTGTATATTTCTAGACCTTGTCTATTTTGTCTGTTACCTAAATTATTGACACATAGATATTCATAATATTTGTGTTTTATTCTATGAATGTAGCTTGCTCTAATCAGTTTCCTATAGATTGACATTTGTTTCCATTTTTTTTTTTTTTTTTTTTACTGTTATAGACAATGCTGCAATGAACATTTATTGTATCTATCTTTGTGTACATATGTGAGGGTGTTTTAGTATAGATTCCTAGAAGAGGGATCGCTGGGTGAGAGGTCTGAGTATTAAAATGTTGATTGTTTCTGTCCCCTTGTCCTCTTCCTGCTCATCCTTGCAGCCTTATTGATTTGGGTAAGTTCTTTATGTCTAGTAATCTTGGTCTGCTGGAGACTGGAGTTGGTAAGAGTGCACAGAGCAGGTGGGAAGGACAGGTTTTGGAGCTGGGGGCTTGGTGGCCGCTTCTGATTAAGGGTGCTTGAGGCATGTGCCCCAAGCTTGTCCTCAACCCTGTATGTTCACATGTGGGGTTTCCAGACCCTGGAACCTGAGCTGCTGGTGGGTGGCAGACCCTTTGCCTCTGGCAGGCCAGCTTTGGGACTGGTAGAGGTCATTTGGAGTCTGCAGCAGAGCTAGGTGTCCTTCGGTGACTCCACAGGGGTCCTTCGCATGCAGGTTCTCTTCTGGGAATTCTGAGGGCAGTTCTGGCCCCTTTGGTGCCTGCGGAGGAAGGGAGAGTGGGTGCTCTATCTCTGCATCAAGAAATGACAAGGACATACATGTTCCTTCTTATCACTGCTCTCTTTTCTCTCCTGTTCATCTGGGGACTGTCTCTTCTGGGCATTCATTAACTCATGGGTTTCCACTGCCCAGATATAGGCAATGATCTTTTGACAAATGTATCTGTCGTCATGAAATGGGGAGTGGGGAGACTTCTGAGAGACCTCTGCATGTGTTTTGTTAGGGTAGAGCTTTCAGTCCCTCACCCAGCCACCCCACTTCCCCTTTCTCCTTTTTGTCTTTACCTGGAGTTTACAAAGGTGGCACCAGAGTAGCTTAAGGGTTTGGACTTACGTAGTTCAAGATTTTTAAAGTAACCCATCCCGGCCCCTGGAGGCTGTGGCTCAGTGGTTTTCAGGCTTTGCTTCACAAGCTCTAGGGTCCCAAAGAGGAGCCTTGGAGCAGGGGACAGGGGCAGGCAGGGGTAGCACATCAAGGGCTCAGGCCCCCGTGGCTGCTCTGGCCAGTGGCTCTGCTCTGACTGGTTTTATATATTGGAGATTTAAGTGAGACAGAAGGGCTGTGTGGCCACAAAAGTTGGAATACTACTCGTGTTGGCCATCTTGGCCCCACTGCTGGGTTGAAAACGTCCCAAACATGACCCCTGCTGGAGCAGGAGTCCAATCCATGGCCGAGAGGCATTTGGGGAACTTGGCTTTTCCTGGGGGCTCCCTGGCCCCTCTCTCTTGACAGAGACCCAGTGGCCGCTCTCCTCGGGGCCATATGCCAGTCCGGGTGCGTTTTATTTTTTCTTTTGTTGTATGGGGTGTTCTGGTCCTCCAGCCTTGCAAAGGCAAAATCAAATTATCTTCTCTCTTGATCCAAATGAGTTTTGTCTCTGGGGAAGCCCTGGGCTGAGCTTGCAGGCTGTTGGTGAGGAGGCTTTCTCAGCAGACCCCTGGATGATGCCCTGCCCTTCTCTCCCCACCCTCTTTGTGTCTTTCAGTCGGCGGAGTTCTTCGAGATGCTGGAGAAAATGCAGGTGAGCCCCCAAAGTGGGGAAGCTGAGCCCCGGTGGGGGGTGCCGCAGTGACCTTGGGGACACAATACCAGCCAGAACCCCCGGGCAGAACTCGGGGGTCTTGGAGGGAGGGGCAGATAAGAGAGAACTCACAGGCTGATGGCCTGGACAACCTGAGGCCATTTCCATGTTGTGCAGCACCGAGGACTCTGGGGGAGGCTCCTGCCTCAAGGACAGGGAGGAGATAGAAACAGAACCCCCCAGCAGAGCCAATGGGGATGCTGTAAAACCCCGGATGTGGGGAGTGTTTGAAAGGGTCCGTTTTTCCTGGAATGGGTTCCTGAAAAAGAAAGCTCCTTCTCAGGGGAGGCATCTTGTATCTGGGAGGCAAAGCGGCAGGTGGGAGACAGACCTGAGTTCAAATCCTGCATCTAACACTTACTAACTCAAGTTCCTTCCGTTTTCTAAGCCTCTCGCTCCTGTTTTCTGTGCCTACTGTGCTCTTCTCATCTCGCTCTGACACCAAATGCGGGGTAGTTTTTCCCACACCAAACAGTTCTGCGACACCAGCTGGGTGTCCTACAATTTAACTCAATTTGGACACTGTCTACCTGGAGATCGTGTTGGTCCCACAGGTGAAGGGTTCAGTCCCACAAGTCTACCCTCCTCCCCCACTTCAGACACCAACCACAAGTCCAGGTTGTCACCTGTGCTTCTGACCGACCGGCTATAAATTGGAGTTTCCCACGACCCCTGCCTCAAGTTGATTAATTTAGTAGAGTGGCTCGAAGACTAAGGAAAACAGTTTACTTACCAGATTATCAGTGTATTGTAAAAGGATGTAACTCAGGAACAGCCAGATGGAAGAGATGCCTAGGGCAGGGTGTGTGGGCAGGGGCACAGAGCTTCCATGCCCTCTTTGGGCACACGATGTGTTTACCAACCAGGAAGTGCTCCAAACCCCGTCCTTTTGGGGTTTTACAGAGGCTTGTTTACATAGGCATGATTGATTAAATCATTGTCCATTGGTGATTGATTCAACTCCAGCCCCTCTCCCCTCCTTGGAGTTCCAACCCTCTAATCAGGGTTTGTTCCCTTGGCAACCAGCCCTCATCCTTAGGGGCTTTCCAAAGTCAGCTCATTAACATAAACTCATTAACATAAACTTAGGAATAACATACTCCTTTCACTTATAGCTCTGGAGCTGTTAAAGGAACCCAGGACAAAAGGCCAAATACTATAACGGAAGATGCTCCCATTGCTCTTATTACTTAGGAAATTCCAAGGCTTTTAGGAGCTCTGTGCCTGGAATTGGGCAAAAACCAAATATATATTTATTATTATAAATCACAGTATGACAGCTTTTATAAATAAATAAGAATACAGATACCCCCTTACATGGGGGTTGGGATGAAATGGGATAATATATGTAAATACTTGGTAGACACGGCGTAAAAATCAGTATTCAGTGTGGATTGGGGGTCCTTCATAATTACTCCTTACCAAGGGCTCAGGCTCATTGGTTAAGAACTGCTGCCCTGGGGAATATGGGGAGTGGTCCAGAAGGCTTAACTGATACTGATGGAAAGAGTGGGAAGAAGATGCTGATCGTGGTCCTCATATTTCAGTCACTTGTCTGGGCTCGGAGATTGACAGGCGTTATCTCATTTCTTCCTGACAAAGCACGCAGGAGCAGGTATATTATTATTATCCCCACTTCACAGGGGAGAGAAGCGAGGCACAGAGGGATTTAATAAAGCTCTCAAGGACTCATGGCTAATAAGTAGTTCAGAGCCAGAAGGCTTACCCATTATATTATGATGCTTTTTACCCTTTTAGGTAGATGCTACGGGCTGCAGGAGGGAAGATTCTGTAGTAACAGTCTGGAAGCTCCAGGAGAGGCAGATAGAGTGCCCACCACAGTCTTGAGATGCAGGTGGAGCCGCTGAGAAGGCTGCTGCGAGCCAGTGTGGTCCTCATGGGAAAGCCAGGTCTCCCGAAGGGTGGGGAAGGGGAGGGACTTTTTTTTCTTTTTGAGGAAGACTGGCCCTGAGCTAACATCCGTGCCCATCTTCCTCTACTTTATATGTGGGATGCCAGCCACAGCATGGCGTGCCAAGCGGTGCCATGTCCGCACCCGGGATCCGAACTGGTGAACCCGGGGCCGCCGAAGCGGAGTGTGTGAACCTAACTGCTACACCACCCGGCTGGCCCCGGAGGAACTGTTTGAGGGCATAATATTGTTAGTGGTTGTGTCATTATCACGAGCAAGTTATTAAGATCCCTCTCCATGCCCGGCAGTGTGTGGACTACAAGCTAATTTTATATGCAGTTAGGGAATTTACAATCAAGTTGTGGAAAAGGACGGCATCTGCCTTGACAGCGAGCGGTGGGTGACCGTGTGTAATTCAGTGCCCAGTTGATTGGAGTAAAGCTAGGATTTTCGTCTCAAGCCTGTGGAATCCCGGTGCGCTGGCAAGATGGCAGGGAATTTGTGGTTCACCCTGTCCTCACTGCCTTCTCTCTGTTTGAGCACATAACCCCACCCCACTTAACTGGCCTCATAATGTTCTGTTGTTTTGAGGCTGCTGGGCTTGTCTTCACAACTAGATTGGGAGCCTCTCGAGGGCAGGGGTCTTGTTTTTGTGCTCCCTCTGTATCTCCATGGCAGCTGACACCCATGGGTGGTCCGCCGATTCCACCTTAGCTGAGACTGCAGGGGCCTAAAACTGACTTTCTCAGTGTTTGGGTCCCTACCATGTGCCCATTGGGCCCCACCTCCGAGGGGCCCACAGTTTCCAACTCTTATGTATGTGTGAAACTCACATGTGGGGAACTGGCGGGGACGCATGGGCCTCATGGGGTGGCCAGATCTGTCCTTGAGTGTGGGCACCATCTCCGCTCATCCTGCAGTGCTGGAGACTGAGGCTCAGAGCAGCCAAGTGCCCAGGGCGCTCTGAGTTGGGAAGAGGCGAAACTAAGATCTGGGACTCCTGACCCCAGCCCGAGAGTCTGAGGATTTGAAGAAGGGCACAATGCTGTGAAGCAACAGGAGCCAAGTGCTCAAGCTCTGGATCCCTTCTGTCCTTGGTCCAAGTTCTAACCCTGAACTCTTGGTCAAGTCACTCGACCTCTCTGAGGCTCAGTTTCTTCATGGCGGGGGAAGGGGGAGAATAATGATAATACCTATTGTAAAGGATGACACAGGGAGGGGAGGGGAGAGGAGAGGGCCCAGTGCTGGGCGGTGGCTCTGTCGTGGGGGTGGGAATGGTAGGAGGTTTGCTCTCCTGCTCCAGGAGCTGTTCCCAGGCAGGATGACTAATGCAGGACAAACTAAACAAACTCCTGACATCACCCCTTCCCCATCCACCCAGTTTGCCTCCCTGGGCAGGGTCTGCAGGGCCACCCAGGTGGTTTTCTCCCTGTGCTGGGATGGTAGCACCTGTCTGGTGGGAGGGTCCCTCCCACACCCTCCTGAACAATGCTGCCTGGTGACTTAGCCCAGAGGAGTCTGGAGAAGCCAAAGGCTAAATCCGCCCAGTTAGCAGGAGCTCTGGGTTCCCTGGGTTGCGGGATATGATCATGCGATTGGTGGACAGACGACCTGGCTTCAAATCCAGGCCCTGCCACTCACTAGCTGAGTGACGTTAGGCAAGCAACTTCTTCCCTGGGCCTCAGTTTCCTTGTTGGTGAAAAGGTGCTGTGGGCTTCAAAGGAGACAAGCGAGGGAGCGCTCTCGGGAAGGTTAACATCCTGATGCGGGATGTGATGTTGAGGCAGCGCTGCTTCAGGACTCTCCTCTCTCCAGAGGGGACCTGTTTCTCCTAGTTTGTCCCACCATCTCATGCCCTCCTTGGATTTATTCAAACAATCCTGGGCACACCATGCGCTCCTCTCCCACAAAACCCGGTGAAGTCAGAACTTGGCCATGGGACCACTGGACACGGCACTCTCTCCAGGAGTGAACATTCCAGATACCTGCAGGTGCATCCCTTTCACCCAGGCCCAGCCTTGGAGACTGATCCTTGCGCTGATGCCTCTGTGAGGTGGGAGGGCGTGTGTTAGGATCGTCATTTCGTGGATGAAGCCATGGAGGCGGCAGGAGGCTCGACTTTGTCCAGGGTCGCCAATAGTAAGACTGCGGTAGACGGAGGACCAGGCCCCCTGCCTGTTACCTGTCAGCCCGCCCACCGGGGAGGGGGTAGAGCTCATGTGGCATTAGGTCCGGAGGTCCAGAGTGCTGACTCTGACACCCACATCCTTGCTCCTCGCCTACTGGCTCTGAGAGTCCAGTGGGGGTATTGAAGCACCAGGATGATAATACTGCCTATCTCGTGATAATAATAACCCTTAGCTTTTACTATATACCCATCACTGCTCCAAGGGCCTAACACACTATTGACATTTAACCTTCACCACAGTGGTAGCACCACTATCATTCCCATTTTACAGAAGGGAACACTGAGCCCCTGAGAGGTTTTTGTGACTTGCTTGAGGTCATAAGGTCATAATTCACAGTGATGGAATTTGAACCCTGGTGATCTGGCTTGAGTCCGTGCTCTTAACCCCCTGCCCTGCTGCCTCCCCTGAGGCTGCTGTGAGGACTGAGCATGACACGTATGTGACATGTAAGGGCCCAGCCTTTACAGCTGTTGCTGTTTTTAATACTAACCCCGGCAAGGCAGTGCTCCCAACAGACTCCTCTGTTTGGCTGCTTTTTGTGACCTTTGCTTTTTCCATGGATCCTCTTTTCCTTGTTTCTGCAGGGGATCAAGCTTGAAGAGCAGAAGCCAGGACCCCAGAAGAACAAGGTGGGCTGGGTGGGTAAGGTGGCAGCCAGGTGGGCCCAGCGAGGGGGCTGGGTGAGAGGAAGGCAGGGGAGCAGCCACATGCTGGGGCCTGCTATCTTACACCATCTGACTCTGATTTTCACCAAGAGCCACTTAAGTAGCTGTGCTGTGTTGACTGGTGCACGGTGGGAGCAAGGGGAGCCCTGGCTTGATGCCTTGAGGGCAGCTTCAGGGCAGGCTGGGGTGGAGGCCTCAGGCGAAACCTAAGGCTTGTGGCTCAGCCTGATTCCTCTGCACCCCCTCCTGCGAACGAACCACATACAGCGTTTTGGGGTGTCAGGCTCTGGGCTCCAGGAGGCGTCATTCTCAACTTCAGGTTCCATTTCTAAGGCCCAGGGGGGCAGCTCATCACTTGGAGGTCAGCCCTCTTGCCTGGAGGGGACTGGGTGGGACCAGGGTCGTCGTCTTGTTACAGCATCCTAGGGCGAGAGCTAGTGTCACTCGTGGTGTGAAATCCAGCACCTCTGTATACTGCATCTTCGGCCAGCAGGGTTTGCACTCAGGTTCTGTGAATTTGGGGAAGAACTCAAGAGAAGCCAGATTGCAGAGCTGCCTCTAGGCTGTTCTTCTGTCTGGTGTTCTTCTCGCTGGTGCTCCCAAAGGCCTGGTGCAGCCTGCCAGGCCCCCCAATGCACCCTCTCCCCAGACCTGGGAGAGGGGAATGGAAACAGTGATCGAACTCTGTGGGCACTGCTGGGACTGACGGTGACATGTCTGTTTGTCTTGCAGGATGACTATATCCCGTACCCCAGCATTGACGAGGTAGGAGCCCTGCGGGCCACACTGCAGCCCACTCTGGGTCCTATCTCTGGGGTGGGGCTGGGGCCACTGATGGTGATGGTGGTGATGGTCTCTGCCCAGCCCCATGTGGGAGAGAACTGTGGACCTGGGACTTGAGAGTCTGAGGGTTCTTCCCATCTTTCCCTTGTGACCTTAGCTTCTCCGTGTTAAGTTTGGGGGTGCCCATCCAGGCCCTGCACCTCTGGGCCTAAAGGGTTGGTGAAGCTGTAGATGTGGGGCTTAGAGGAAGGGTTCTTGTTACTACTTTTGGCCTCAAATATAGGGGTCCCCTCCTTGGAGCATTTCAGGGGTGGGTGGGGACAGCCCTAGGCACCCCTCCCCTCCCCCTGTAGAGTCAGGGCAGGCTGCAGGGCAAGACCCTTCCTCTGTCTCCAGATAGTGGAGAAGGGAGGCCCGTACCCCCTCATCGTCCTGCCCCAGTTTGGGGGCTATTGGATCGAGGACCCGGAGAACTTGGGCACGCCGACCTCCCTGGGCAGCAGCATCTGCGAGGAGGAGGAAGAGGACAGCCTCAGCCCCAACACTTTCGGCTACAAGCTCGAGTGCAGGGGCGAAGCCAGGGCCTACCGCAGGCACTTCCTAGGGAAGGTGAGGCCCAGGGTCCTGGGCGTCAGTAGCTGTGGGAGGGGGAGTGCACCAGGGAACCCCGTGTCCCTCTCCAGCGCCCCTTTCTCTCTTTCTTTTCCTCCCTGGTCCTGCCCCTTCCTTGCTGCCTGCCTTCGTCCTTCTCCTTGGAGAGGTCCGACTGGCTCTGCTCCTGGGCTGGGAGTGGAGGGTGTGCAGAAGTCAGGAAGGCTCAGTGTGAGGGCTCCCTGTGGGGACCACCCCAGCAAATGCTTTAGGAGATGATGGAATGAGTAGTTTGGGGGTGAAGGAGGGTGGAAGAAAAAAATACATTCTCACACCTTGCAAGTCCTCATTTCCGTCTAAATTGTACAAATCTCTCACGTCCTCGTTCAAGTGGGTCCCCGGGGTGCTTGTACTGGATGATGTGCTGTGAGCCTCTGATTGCTTAAAAGTGACAAAGTTACATTTCTTTAAATATATTCTGCCCTTCAGACTTGCCAGGTTCCAGAAGTCCCCAGGGCACATTCCGGAAGTTTCCAGCCTAGGGCAGCTTTGCAGTCTGGAGCTGCATCAGAGCCCCCCAGGGAACTTGTAAAATGGAGATCCTATGGCTCTGCCCTGATATGGCAGGTCTAGGGTGGGCTCCCTGAACCAGGGAGAGACCCACTGTCCAGAAGACGTCCAGCTCCCCTTGGGTAGAGGTACCAGTGTTCCTCCTAGCTTTATTCCCACAAATAGTCTGAATTGGCAGGGGTGGCCCCTGGGAAGCAAGAAATTGGGCTCCGTATCTTGCGGTGAAGAATTTGAGCTTCCGTCAAGACAGCCAGGGGTTTGAACCCTGGATCTATCACTTACTAGTTGTGTGACCCTGGACAGTTGCTTAACCTCCCTGAACATCGGTTCTCCCCTCTGTGAAATGCAGATGATGTTATCTCGCCTGTAAAGCACATCCTGAGGACTCGGCAACTGGAGTTTATTACTGTGGTTCCGCCCCCCCCCCTCCTTTTTCCCCACTCCCTCCCCTTCTCCTTCCCTGCTCCCCTTCTCCCTTTTCTCCTCCTTCTCTCACTCCTTCCCTTCTTCCTCCCCCTTCCCCTCCCCCTCCTCCTCAATTGCAGCCTCTGCAGTAACATCCTTCTCTTGTTGCTGTGGCGCTTCTCACTCCTGGTGAAGGAGGTGATTTTGGGGGCCATGTCTGAAAGGTCCCTTCCTCCCCGCTAACACCTGATTTCTGTTTCTAGGATCATCTAAACTTTTACTGCACTGGCAGCAGTTTGGGGAACCTGCTTCTGTCCATCAAGTGCGAAGAGGCTGAGGGCATTGAGTACCTTCGGATCATTCTCAGGTGGGGCTGCTGTGCAGTTGAGGCCACACCTCTAGTGGCAGGGACCCAGAAACACCAGTCTGACCAGTCTGGTCTGGTGTGCTGGGGGGAACAGACGGCTGAAATCCTGGGGCTATGTCTAGTTGCCAGGCAGGGAGACCAGTGTTTATGCCAGCTGGCTGACTGCGGAAGTCACAGTGGTGTCCTGGTCTCAAGGTCACCTAGACCGTACCCCTACCTGCCTCTCTTTCTTCTGGGGACCGTGGCTCTGAGGAGGATGGGAAGAAAAAGTAAGGGTGGCTCATCCTGTTGAGACCCAACTCCAAATCGCCCCGGGAGAGGGTTTGCCAGAACACTGTCTGTGGTGTGCATCCAGTCAGGGAAAGTAGATCCCCAAGCATCAGTGTGTGTGCTGGATTCCGAGATGGAATGAATGTCACAGTGGGAACACCGATTTACAGCTAAGCCAGGGCACCTCTCTCTGGATTATGACCTCCTCAAGGGCAGGAACTGGAACTGGTTTCTGTTTTGTTTGACTAACATGTTCAGCAAAGCCTCCTTTGTACTGGGAAGTGCGATGGTGCTGGGATGCAATGATGACTGCGTCGTGGTCCCTGTTCTCTAAACGCTTATGGTCTAGTGGGAGAAAAGAACAGAGCAGTTTCATATGTGTCACAGGTGTTGTTTTAGCGAAATGCACAGGATGCTGTGGGATCATAGAGAGTCTGTGTCTTATTTATCTCTGTCCCTGGTGGGCTGGTGGAGAAGCAGGAAGGCCGGGTGTGAAGGCCGGTGCTGGTGCTCAGCACAGTGCTGTGAACTTGTCAAACTCCCAGTCCATATTTGTTAAATCTAATTTGAAGGTATTTAGAAAAGAGCAATTACATTTTTTTCTGCCCAAATTTTGAGATAAATATGAGAGGAAACGGACACGGAGCCCTGCTGTGTGAGAGGGGAGGGGAGGGTGGGACGAGGAAGTCATCAGCACCTGTCCAATCTTGGTTTGCTTTTTATTAAGAGAGGAAGCAGTTGTCTTTGTTGAGGTTCACCTGGCTAGAAATCATATCAGCAAGGCAAAGAAGAGTCAATTAAATTGCTGGAGCCAATTTTCTGAGGGAGTAATACCTGGATCCCCATGTCCAAATAGGATTTCAAGTTAGGTAAACCTCTGTAAAGAAAATTACTTCCTTTCTTAATAAAAACCAGACCCAGATTGGGTAGGAATTCTGAGTTAGATGGCAAATGAACACAAGCCTCTAACCCCCTTTTTCTGATGCTCTAGCCTATCTGAGATACTGCAGCAGGACTGAAAACTAGGGAAAGATGCCAGAACACAACACACACTTGGATGATATATATATTTTTGTAATCTACGAAGCAGTTAGGACTATAATGTAGGTGATAATGAAAGGTGAACCCCAGTTCACCTTCCTTAGAAAGCAATGTAGTGTGGGAATATATCAAATTGGAGATTCTGGGGGAATCCTGTACTCTTTTTTTTTTTTTTCTGGGAAAGATTCACCCTGAGCTAGTGTCTATTGCCAATCTTCCTCTCTTTTTTTTCTCTCAAAATCCCCAGTACATGGTTGTATATTCTAGTTGTAGGTCATTCTAGTTCTTGTATGTGAGCCACCACCACAGCATGGCTACTGACAGAGGAGTGGTCTGGTTCTGCACCTGGGAACTGAACCCAGGCCACCGAAGTGGAGCGCATTGAACTTTAACCACTAGGCCACCATGGCTTGCTCGGGAATCCCATACTCTTTAGAAATGAGAATGAGCCCTGGAACAGTCAGGGGTCTTTCCACATGGAATCGTTTTTGTTGTTTTGGGTCAACAGCATTTGAAATCAATGCCCTGGGGAACTCAAATGTGGCTCTCCCAAATAGAAAGCCAATGAATGGGATGGCGGAGAGAAGCCCTACACCAGTTAGGAAGTTGGACAATCACATTATGTACTTGGAGTGATGGCCAGGCCAAATTGAAAACCAGACATAAAAAAATTGGCCCCCACGGCTTAGCAGCTTTACCAGACACAAAGAAGAAATTATGCGGAGATGAAGTTCCCTTGCTGGCAGTGACCCCTGTCCCAGCTTCTTCCTCATTCCCCGTAGGCTTCTGGATTATTTAATTGATACAATCAGCTCTCCAGCCTAAAGTCTGAGAAGAGTATTCTAACAGCCTTTGTGTGTGTCATGAGAGTAGCCAGGAAGAATCTACCCACAATTTCGAAACAAATAACAAGCCTGAGTAGATTTCTTCTTTTTCAAGTTTGGATATAAAGAAGAAGACAGAGAATGAAAAAAAAAAACCCTCACAGGTCAGTGAAAGAAAAGATTCTGCATCGAAGAAAGCATAACTCAGCATTTAGAAGGTAGGGAAATAGCTGAGTTTTGAAAAGGACTGACTATAGAAAGCCAAGTAAAATTTAGATATTAATTAACTCTGCATTTTCAGCAAACTATAGAAAAAATAAACTCTGTGAAAGAAAAGACAAAAGATAAAATGAGAGAACAGAATGAGCTGAAAAATTTGCTTGTTAAATTAAGGAAATTATATAAGAAAACTAAAAATGGCCAAAAAGAATGTTAAATGGTATTAGAAGGAGTAAAGAGCAGAATCTACTTTGTAGCAAACCCAGTTAGTAATATTGAGAAGCTTAAGAAGCTCCCACATAATCAAAGGAAAACACAATAACTTTAAATGATAAGCAAAATTATAATGAATATGGAGGATAGTGAGCAGGAATTAAACGTGGATAATTGATTACTTAAATCTTAAGTAATCAATTATCTTAACTTAAGAATACTTAAATCTGTAGCTCAAAATGACTCACCCAGTATCAGACAAAATCAAGGAAAGGAAACTAAAAGCTGGACATAGTCTGATGAAAATTTAATATTCACTGGTAGAATGAAAATGTTCCAAATAATAAAGGAAGACAAAACATACACATATAGAAAAAGATAGGAAATAAAAGAATAATAAATAAGTAAATGTGATAATAGAAGTAAGTCTGAATACATGGATGATGTATAATGAATATAAATGAGTTAAATTCCACTGTTACATAGCCAAGATTCTCAGTTTAGGTCATCCTTCCAAAAAAATAAATAAATAAATAAATAAACCCACCTATCTATCTATGTATCTTTTATTAGAGAAAGTAACTCAGTATATTTAAAAAGAAAAGTGTTGAGAAACAGTTATAACAATCAGATACAAAAGGAAGCAGAGTGGCAATATTAATATGAAAAAATAGAATTCAAGACAAAAAAATCAGTGTGACAAAGAAGGCTATTTTCTATTCATGGAAGATAGGATCTACAGTGAAGATATCTTCTGAAACTTTTTATTGTTAATAGTATATATTATAACATAGTATGTCTATATATAATGATTAAGGTATGGAGAAATTCACAGAATACAATTGTAGTGGTAGATGTTAACACACTTCTTATCACTTGACAGATCAACTAGGGTAGGAAATGAGAGGATGTGGATAATCTCATTAGTACTATTCATGTCAGTTATATATATTTATCTTTATCTGTATCTAGATTTAGCGATCAAACTTTGAACCTCTAACAGAGATTTCTGCTTCTTTTCAAGTGCCTATGGAAAATTTACACAAATTGATTGTAAGGTAGGTCAGTGGTTTATGTGGATCCTGTTACAACAGAATCATCTTGGAGCTTTAAAGCAAAGTAAAGCAAAAAACAAAACCCAGACTTCTATTTATAAAGTCTTATGTTTATAAAAACCTTTTAAAAAACAATAAAAATTTAAACATACACATACATATATATTTGAATATAAAAATGTAAGATATATAAAGACATAAATAATGTATATTCTTATTTTCTCCTTATTTCTATAGCATTCTATAGAACATATTGTTCGGTAACTTGCTTCTCTCTTAATGGTATATCTAGATTTCTTTCCGTTTTAGTACGTAAAGAGCTTCTTATTAATTCTTTTTACTACTGCATGGTATTCCTTTATATAGATGTGAAATAACTTATTTAATAGCTCCCCTATTAATGGCCATTGTCAGTCTTTTGGTGTCACAAATAATGCAATGAATAACCTTGTACAAATGTCAAGTTGTATGTATTAAAGGAATTTCTCAGAAGTGAGATAGCTGGGTCAAAACATAAATGCCATTTGTATTTTAATAGATATTGCCACATTGCCTTCTGTAGGAGCTGTATAAAGCTGAACTTTCACCAGTAATGTATCAGAGTGCCTATTTTCCCAAAGCCTCTCCAACAGAATGTTTTGTTGAACACTTGGATTTTTGCCAATCTGATAGGTGAGAATGGTATTTTAGTGTGGTTTAAATTTACAGTAATTTTATTGAACTATGTTGGGCATCTCTCTCTATAAGGACCACATGAATTTATTTTGTTAACTCTTTGTTCATAAGCTTTACTCCATTTTTTTAAAAAAATTGGATTGTTAAGCAAAATTTCTACTTTTAAAAATGTTGCGGATAATTCTTGATAGCAGGTAGATTTAGGAACCAGTCTTTTGAGCCACAAAGTAAATCTAAATAAATGTCAAATAGCAGACACTTTGCTGGATGTATTTGCTTACAATTTGACAATAAAACTAGAAATTAATAACAAAATCATGTTTAAAAAACCCACTTAACCGCTTAGAAATAAACAATGTTAACGCTTTCTTAAATAACTATTGGGCTAAAGAGGAAATCAAAGCTGGAGTTAAAGAATATTTATAAAATAATGACATTTATAATATTATGTATAAAAACTTATGGATTGTGATCGGAGCTGTACTTAGAAGAAAATTAATTGCATTAAATAATTTCTTATTAAATAAGAAAGAATATTTGCAAGTTGTTGTCATTGTTGTTAGTAACTTCTCTGTGCCTCAGTTTCTCCATCTGTAAAATGGTGATGGCAGTGTCTACCTTAAAATTTTTGAATGCTTGTTATGTACCCGAGCCCAATACATTGTAGCTACTCAACACTAGTAACTGCTATTATTATCAATAT